TATGTCGTAACTATAAATTGCTTAACTTCGGACAGCGTATAACTTCATGTAATCTGAATTGCACCTCCACCAAACCTAATACAGGTTCCAACGATTACGACAAGAGATTTAACACAAATAATTTCCTGAATGACATCAATAATGTAAAATAAATGGGCTGTCTATATAATAATATCTAAGACGATACAAAAGCAGCAGTAGTATAAGTCCAATCAGTATTAATGGAGATCGCCCAATAAGGAAGTGATGCGTGCGAGACCTGCGCACGCGTCTAGGGTTACCAAACTCCTGACAATAGACAATGGGCTAGTTTTGATTATGAAAGTGGGATACTATTGTAACAGAAATTACGTCTTGAAGGTAGGGTCTATCGTCTTAAATGTAGACAGTATATGGATAAAATATAGAGCTTTAGCATCGTATGTAGAGTACATTAGATTTGATTTAGATTGTTTGTAAAATCGCACTTATAGAACTACATAAAATATCAAAGTGTACTTATAGCTAGATATTCAGTCATGTGTAACTGGTGCTCCTGAATGTGAGAGTATAGATAGAGGACAGTTTTATTCACATTTCACATTATAAGTAGTAGGATTACTTGCTTTGCTTCCTGCTTTAGTGACACGTAAAGGTGCTTTTTAAAAACCTATGTAAAGAAAATAAATAACTTATGAATTATTCCACATCCCTGCAATACCGCAGGCGCCTACCAGCCGACCAATTATTGGCTATAGTTCTCTTCCTACCCGACCCGGGGTTGCGGTTACCTCCGAAGAACCTTCGCAAGCCCTCAAAAGCTATTCTGGGATGCAGCCGCGAATGAAGCAATAAAGCAAAGCAAATCAAGAATTCGTATTAGGCTCGGGTAAAGGTCAAAGAGCGCACAGTGAAGATAGCCTTAGATGTGTTTTGTATAATGTTCGTAAATATGTAATTAAAATAACTATGAATAGGAAAATCAAACAAGTTCTAATATTACCTACGCAACGCTACATCTCTTTCAAGTGCATTCCAAACATATTTTTCTTTTTATAAACACGTTATGCTTTGCTCTAATTGTTAATTGAAAATATAGAGCATTTTACTGAAGAAAGTATAATAATATGTACCTATTAGCAATTAGTATAATGTAATCCGTGTTTTCGTGTTTGATTTCATTTGACGGTAGTAAACAAATAAATGACTATTGGCAAGTTTTCTTTCGGATTCTGTAAAGAAAGTTTGCAAACTCAATTTAATCAATCATTCGAATTAACAGTTGAAGCGGAACGAACAAAAACATCGCTACGATTGAGTGAGATTTGTTCTTACAGGGCTCAATTAGATTGGATTTAGAAATAAAAGAAATGTGTAAGTGAACGGTACAGTGCAATGCTCGCAGACATTGCAAGATTAAAATGACTTTTTTCGTGCAAGTGAAAGTTTGGTCGAATTCCCTTGGCAGCTGAATGCCCGCGCACACGCGGCTCGCACGCCAGAGTGGGGCACTACCGTTCGAGCATGGTAATGTCTGTTTATGTTTATGCTATCACTGACACTTACATTTTTGCATACAACGTTAACCAAACCTCTTAGGAGTTCAACTATTTAAAATTCTTATAATGTGTGCGAATTATACCAAGTAACACTCATAGTTAACGGTGACTGAGGTTATCGCAATCAAATGCCCGGAATTGAATACTAAAGATCTCTCAACATCAGTACTCGGGATGATTAGCATATTTCTGCGATTTGATACAGGCGGTGCTCTTTTTAAATTGTAGGTTAATTACCAAATATTTTATGTGAAAACGGTTTTTTTACATAAAAATTCTTAATTTGTCCACTTTGCTTAATAAGTAGGTTGCAAAAATAAGTAATTACTTTTTATTTATACAGATAATAAACATTTTATATCGTTCGTCACACTTATTGGTTTAAGACACAATTTATTAATTACACAATTTCATAAAAAATGATTAATAAATTAAAGTAAACTAAAAAAAGTTTAAAAACGTTTTTATGTCAACATTATGTCAGTCACCCTTCAGATAGCAGCAAACTTGTGAGTCTACTATTATTTAAAAAAATAACCATTAAATCGACATGTAACATTTGATTGACCAAGTGAAACTAAGTAAAACTTTTTTTAATATTTGAACATAATATTTGTCAATTAAAAATTATCAGAACATCAGACTATATTTTTTTTTAGTTTGTGTTCTTCTCTACTTGTAATGGTTTCCTGGTAGTTTAGCGAGCGTCGGCCAGGCCTGAATACAAGGTGATCGCGTGAACTGGGAGTATTAGCATTTATTTCAATCGTAATGACAACCCGCGCACGCGCAGATATAATCTAAAGGCTGTCACAGACGAGCAATATACTGCTATAGTTAAGATGAAACAGTAAAATTAACTTAACCATAATTGAATATACAAAACTCACTCATTCTTTCAAATATCGAGAAAACGTAATTCATTGATATTGTAATTTGAATTATTCCCTAATCCATTAAAAATTAAAATCATGAATGATGAACCGTTCTCATTTAAAAAATCGAACATTGTTTCATTGGCATCACAATAGTATAAAGTTATTGACATAAAGGATTAATATCTTCATCGTATGTGACGACCTTGAGGCCACATGTGAGTGCTATGATTAAAAGAGCACAGCACTATTTCATTGGTTTTCAACCAATATCTTCACAACATAAAGTTCAAATTGACATAATAAGGGTTAAGGTTTATACATATTATCATCACCATCGTGTGCGACGGCCTTAAGGCCACACTGCGAGTGCGTGCGCACACGCCGTCTGTCAATGCGCGCAGTTTCACACCTCTAATGACTGACATTTTTTCTTCTAAGTACCATTATCTATACTACAATGTTATATCAAAATCACTACTGTTAAACATGCCTTCAAGGTGCATATTAAAGATGATCAAAAGAAGTTAATAAACATAATTAATAAATTCTATTAGTTAATACAAGACAACATGTTCTTCGCTCCATTAACTTATTATTTTATTACTAAATAAAAACGTCGTATGCGTCTTTGTTCAATGATTATAAAAAATCTGCTGCTTTCTAAACCTCAACATAAATGCCAGCAGTATTCCTCGTAGTAGAGGTAGATGTACTCTTTACGTTCTAATAAGGCCGAGTTGCACCACCTTACTTTAACAGTAACTTTTTTTTTTTTTTTATGCATAACAAGGCAGGTATTTGACCACAATCGCACCTGATGTTAAGTGGGATGCGGTCTAGGATGGTACATATCTGCCCTGTAAGTGCCTATTCACTCTCGCCTTGAAAAGGCCCGGATTATAGTTTTCGGGAAAGACAGCAGCAGGCAACGAATTCCAGTCCCTAGCTGTTCGCATTATAAAAGAGTCATCGAAACGCTTAGTGCGAGCTGGTGGAATGTCAACAATATAGGGATGGTACGCTAACCTGCGTCTGGTTCCCCGATGATGGAAGGGGGCTGGTGGAATTAATTCATGTAATTCTTTCGCACATTCTCCGAAGTGTAGCCTGTAGAAAACCGATAGGGATGCTACCTTACGGCGATGGTCAAGTTCCTGGAGCGCCGCTTCAACAAGGGTAGGGCTGTCGATAAGTCTTCTGGCACGCCTTTCCACCGAATCCAAAGCAGCCAAATGTTTCTTGGCAGAGCCGTCCCAGAGGTGGCAGCAGTATTCCATGCAAGGTCGGATCTGTGCTTTATAAAGCTGCAGCCTTTGCTTCTTGGAGAAGTACTGCCTTGCCCTCGAGAGGATACCAAGCTTTTTGGCAGCAGTTTTCGCTATGGATTCGATGTACTCGCCAAAGTTCAGCTTGCTGGACATTTCAATGCCCAAGAGTTGCAGTCGCTCGGTGATTTTGACAGGCACACCTCGGAATGTTGGAGCCATAAGAAATGGACTTCGTTTGGCGGAGAACAGACACGCCTGTGTTTTTGACGCGTTAAATTGGACCAGGTTGGCATCGCCCCAATCAGAGACATCCTGAAGGGCCAAATTTAAGCGTTCAATTAGGGACTCACGACAAGACTCGACCTCACGCCTGTCGGCTTTTGCGTTGGATATATATTTGGCTGTCACTGTCGTGTCATCTGCGTACCCAAAGGTACCGGGTTTGAGCAGGTCATTGATGTGCAGTAGGAATAGTGTTGCAGACAGCACCGAACCCTGAGGGACGCCAGNTCATTGATAAGCAGTAGGAATAGTGTTGCAGACAGCACCGAACCCTGAGGGACGCCAGCGTCAATAGGTTGTTGACTAGAAGTGTAGCCCTCAAGAACTACTCTTATTGATCGTGCTTCGTGATCGAACTTTAACGATAACCGGTGCTTTTTGTATGGATTTGACAGATTTTTGACATTTGTTACAGTTGAAATAAGATGGTGCAACCCACCCTTATACTTAGTGTTGTTATTTTGACGAGTGTAGAGTTACAATTACAACTCGAGTAGCTCAATGACTTCTATTAAGAATTAAGATTTTATAGCAGTCATAAAACAATTAAGTTTCAACTTGATATCTCTTTGAGATAATAAAGTGAAATGGGTAGTCATAAAAATAGCTAAGTAGGAGAGTTAGCTTTGCTAGAGATATCGTCTTTCATTTTCGTACCTCGATATTGTTAAACTATTTATTATTGGCAGTAAAGTTATTATATCTCAGACACTGTCAGTAAGGTGGTTAAAGACTTCTGAGAGATACCTTTCGTCTTTTAATAATTTCCCTACCACTTATCGTTCGTTTGTTCGTTTCAGTCAAAAGACGTCCACTGCTGGACAAAGGCCTCCTCCAAGGATTTCCACCAAGACCGGTCCTGCGCCGCTCGCATCCAGGCACCTCTCGCGACCTTCACCAGATTGTCGGTCCACCTGGTGGCAGACCTGCCTAAGTAACTTATATCTTTTGTTAAAGTATCTTATGCTTGCAGTTATACCACGAGCGATAAGGAGCTTTGGGTCATTGGACAAAATTCTACGTGCTCACAGACCGGGCTTTAGCTTAAGTCATAGACACTCACTGTCAGTGAGGTGGTTGAAGGCGGTGACGTCATCGTTGAGGCGGCCCTGCATACGTCGGAGCTGGGTGCTGAGGTCGCGCGTGTGTAGGAACAGGAACAGAGTGCAGGACACCGCCACCAGCGCCACCAGCTCGCTCGTCCTGCAAAGAGATGTCAATAAGTTGCGACTCTAATATGTTATAGATAAGGTTTCAAATGAAAATGTAATTAATTATACTTCTTCTTTTGTGTCAAGGGCACTATAATATGCATTGATCGTAACCAAAACTATGAAGGATCGCTAATTTCCTTGTGCAAGTGCTGGGGTACAAGAATCATTCATGTAGATTAACCATCGTCTAATTTTATTTACCACAGTAGCACATAGGCGTAATCTTTAAGCGATATCATAAAAAAATGTACACCTATTCGGACGTAATCAACATTAATTTCTAAGACTAACACCCGATTAGGAAACTGCCGTCCTTTGACTTTGTAACATAGCTGACTAATGCTAACCTTTTGAGTTATCTGATGTAAAATAGTACACAGTTACAGCCAGATCATTGAACCTGCTAATATTAAATTAACATAATTATGTAACTTCAGCCTTAACCTTATTGGTATTACGGGGTTAACAGAAGTCAAGACCAAGAAGTCTTATTCATATAACGATTCCGCCTGTCCTTATTCATTCTTGAGGGTACGTCTGAGAGCGTTTTACATAACTTAATGATTTATGATCTCTGACCTCCCATTGTGTGGTCGCGGCATCTTGAATGGCTGTTGAATCGAAGTACAGTCGACAGCATTTCCAGCTTCATTGTGGAAGCTTATGTAGTCGTAATAGATGCTATTTCAGAACAAAAGTGCTCTATACTGTACAGTTGGGCCGTTACCTGTCACCGGGACCCTGGTCCTTCTGACACATGGCCGCGATGGAACGGATTGAATTCAAGTGCCTCATTAGATGGCGCAGGGTTAACCTAGCTTCTGTAATGGGACGTCGTTGTTTGTAAAGCCTTTGTGATGGGATCACTTGAAAAGGTTAAGTCAAATAGTTATTTTGCCCTTAAATAAATAAAATAAAGCTTTTGTGAGCTCGTTTAAGATCTGTTATTTTCATCTTTCATTGTTGCATGTAAAATTAAGTTTATTTAGTTAAAGACTAACGGCATAATAAACGTAAATGCAAAATTTTGCACTCTATTTAATATGGAAATCATGCTTATCTAATCATAGAGCAGAACTTACTGGTATCTAATGAAATAACCTAAATGCGGTTTAGTCTAATTCTGAACGTGCGAAATTGGAAGAAGCCGTAAAAACAGTTTGCGGATTGCGACTTGAGTGATGCTCCGCCTACATAGATTTGATTAGTCTTAGCTTCACCAGGAAAATAGATACATATTTATAATAGATACATATTTATATTCAGATTTTATTCTCTTTACGCGTTCAACCATCAATAAAACTCCTAGTTGAATTTAAGATCACTGTAATCAGTCACTATGAGCTGTCTTCAAACAGCGTAAACTATGTAATTATGTAAAACACGAAACCAGCTAACTTTACCAGTTACTGTTTATCTGTTTCGTACCACTAAACAATGAATACTAGGTAGTTCTTTGGGGAAATAAGGAAATTGTTATTCGTGTTCGTAATTGATTACACGATTGACTGATTTACCAGAAACCCATATTTTATGCGTTTCATGCGAATTATTAGAGGCACAGCGAAACGATAAGTACACAGTGCGGAGGCTCTATTCGTACCGTTTGGATTTGCTGAATCGTCATTTGTACATTAATTATAGCTTATTACAGATAATGAAGTTAAGATTACATAAGCTTACGTAACGTCGAGTTAAGGCGGTGCGGTAATGATAGCATACGGTGACTAGTGGTCCCAGTAATAGATATAGACTGAACCACTTGCGTAAAATATGCATACTATAGGCACATGGAAAACGAGATTAACCTTTAACCGCCAACGACGCATATCATTCTCAATTTTCATTCGGTATATTACTTTATAAAGGCTTGTAAGTAACAATTATTTACGTTGCTATTTAAAGCAACATACAATACAATGTCCAGCGCTTTGTAACTTACTGGAAGCTCTGCCTGAGTCAAACCTAGATATAGGACACGATTCGAGAGGCATTTTAATTGGTGCATTTGGTCGGTAGCGAAGCAAATTGAAGTTTTTCTCACAGTTTCACGGAACATTCTCACAGCATGATTCATTGTAATTGAAAATTACAATATTCGATTAAAAGAAAATCTTATTCATCGCTAAACGAGAGTCAATTATAACTGTGACATCGGAGACGATAGAATAAGTAGATATTCATTACATAAATTTATAAGTTCGAAAGGAATAATATAGGCACTTATAAAACCAATTTATTTGGTATTATAAGCAGAAATAGGCATTAACGCTCAATAGTGTTTTAATATATTAATATTTAAACATGATATCTATACATATATATAAAAATGAAACCCGTTTTCCGTTGTCACGACATAACATGAAAACGGCTTGACCGATTTGGCTGATTTTTTTTTGTAGTTTTCTAATTCTCTGTACAAGGTTTTTACGGAAAAAAATATAAAGAAAATCTCTACGCTAAGGCGGTACGAAGTTCGCCGGGTCAGCTAGTTAGATAATAAAATCACTACGCGAAAGTTTAAAAGCAACTAACTCTGTCTGTAAATGTCTAATAATAAATTTAAATTGTTTGTCACAACTATCACTAAGCCTCGGACCGTGCAAAAATAATGTATCTTTATGTAGTCTGTTGTATCATGCGTTAGAGTAAAAACATTGTATGCATTTAGCATAATTAAGTTCTAAAAATAGCTTTACCAGCATAGAAAAGACGTTCAGAATCTTACCTAGATTCACGCTTGCTTTCCCTTAGTCCGTTAATTAATGCGGCACGGACAATTATCCTTTCACCGCCTCTATAATTGTTTAAAATTTCATTAAATAGCTCCGAGATTGAAACGTTAACTTTTTTCAAAATGTAAAACATAATTAATTTTGACAAAACATTGTTTTTTGCTCTTAATTTTTAAATGAAAATCATTGTAGGTAATTGTATTCAACTATTGTAGGTAACTTAAATAAAGCTTACTTTACGTCTTTTAAAGTTTTTGATTACTACCTCCTGTTTTAACACATCAAACACGTGTAATATTCAATCCCACACTAAAACAAATGAAATTCACAAAACCTTTGTGTTTTTACACACTTATCATACAATATCAAATGACTTAACGTCTATAAACACCCCCAACATAATTGAAAAACGATGCACCCAAATGCTTAAAAGGCTGAGTTGCACCATCTTACTTTAACTTTGACAAACGTCAAAAATCTGTCAAACTCCATACAAAAACACCGGTTATCGTTATAGTTACAGTCAAAGTTAGGTGGTGCAATTCAGCCTAAGTTTTTCATTAACTAGTGGTAAGGAATAATGGTGGGAAACCTATTGTAAGAGCTCGATAAACAAACGAAAAATTACGACGACTGTCAGATTGTTGGATTGTTGGCCTCTCTAACAAGACAATTGCTGGTCCGAGCCTCGTTATAGTAAATATTACGGCAATTGTTTCGTTGTCCGAAGCAACTCTACCTTGGGATCCACCTTGAGATATTTTTACATACAAAGTTAATCCTTCAAAATTTTGAATTATTTAATTTACTCATCCAACATCAGTTTTTAACTGAGAAAACAAAGAGTAATAAATTCAATCTGATAAGTATCTTTAAGAGCAGCAATTCTCACTATTAACCTTTACATTGTTTACTTGTTACATAACTTGACTGATCGGCCATTTGAAGCAAAAAGTAAACTATAGAGAAAGTTTTGCATATTTTCCTGACAGATATGTGCGCTTATCACACTACTGTCATTTGACTCACGTCAAGTAGCGAGCGAGATTTGCCTAAGATTGCGTCGCGCTCACCTCGTCTCTATCGAGCAGTTCGTTGACAGCAATGAAACGTGAAATTGCCCTGTCCGTTATCACCACAATTTATTTATACTGCGGTTTTACCCAAGTTTAACAAAACGCTTTAAAGTTTACGACGCAGCTAGTTATATCACTACTTCGATCTAGGGTAACGTTTAGTTTATGTTTGGTTTAAACGCCAAATATATCGTATATGTAGTAATAAATAAGTTTGAATTATTATACTAACTCTCCAATGGAACATTATAGCTAATATTTTACTCAAATAATATAGGCATACTAAAAGTGAAAAGAGAATATGTAGAGTCTTGAGTTTTATATCCTATTAAACGTACGGTTCATCGTTAAAAGGCAATAGTAATTCGGTATTCACCTTTTACTACGCAGGATCGTGACACTAAAAAGAAAGTGGATATGCAATGGACATTAACCTTATTTGCGACGTGGTTTGAGGGGTAAACAGCGCCATGTATGGGCTTTATGGGACCACGGTCCATATTCTCTATGATCTAACCATCGCAGTGCACGATGGAGCGATATTGGGCAAGTTTTATTGAAAGAGTGAGCAGCATTTAAAGCGATAACAGCGGCAGACTTTTAAGACATTCGAGATAAAAATGTCTTTGAAAGTCTTCTCTTATCGCATCACAAACTAATTTAGATTTGCGTAATAAAATACTTTTCTAGAGATATTTATAGACGGAATTTCTCTAGTGGGCGGCCCGCCACAAATAGGCTACGGAATCCTTTTAATAAGACACGCACTTTTTACGTCGGAGGCTAACTCAAGCCGTTTCTGCCAAGAATAGAATCAGATAATGATGTAGTTGTTGTTTCTCATTTAATGAACTATTCGACGTCAAACAAAGAACAATCAGGATGTAGAGAGTGAAATCATTCTCTTGGGCGCCAAATATAATTCTAGCGAACATTGCCAACATCAATCGTGAATGAAAATATCTAAGTGCGAAGTAGGAAGTCGCTAGAAAATGTTATCAAGTCTAGACTAGGATGTGTTTCGCGAAAGCTACAAGTCTTGTTGTACAAGTGAGTAGACATGACAACTCTTGTTAAAATATTTAGCCTTTCAGTTGCCATGGCTACGTACTTGTATTACAAGTCTTGCTTTAGAGAAACCGGGCACGGGCTATCTACAGCGTGTTCTTAAACAGTCA